CACAGGTCAAACCCCCTAGCTTCATAATCAACCAGTCGATTCTTTCCCAAGCCAAGTGTATCGTGCAAGAATCTACTCCAAAATTATCTAAAGCTAAACAGTATCACATCCCCAAAGGAGGCTCTTTGTCCCAGGGCCTTGTGCAGTAACAGACTCTTTTTTTTTTTTTTTTTTTTTTTTGCCTCAAATCAGGACACTGAATACTCCCTGGCCTCTAAAAAGCAGGCATTATGAAAAGACAGTTCATTGGAAGGAAAATAAACCTGTAAATCCTGTTAGGCTTTGTGCTTCATTCCAAAGGATTTTTTCCCAAAACAATACCATTACCAATGCCATGATAGCCCTGAAAAAGAAGATTCTTTATGACAGAATCCCAATTCTTCATTCAAAACCACCCCCTAAGATAGCACAGGATAATCGGTGCTCGGCTACCAGCATCGTGGGCACAGAGTGAGTCAAATCATTTTCACTGGTCGGTTATGGGCAGGTCATGATCCTCCTTATAAATACCTTTTCTGTAACGTGGTTGTGTTCCTCACCTCCAGACCACTCTCCTCCCAGGTGTGCAGTCAGTCCAGAAATATTCACTAAGTGCCACCCAAGTACCAGGGACACAGAGAAGAGAAATTTGGCTTATCTATGCCCTCAAGGAGCAAATGGGGAGATAGACAGTTAGACAAGTAATTATTACAGAAGGCAGTAGAATTATTAGAACTCAAAAGCAGCAGAACTCAAAGATACTCTTTCCAGGGGAGCCCGGGAATACTAGGAGGCATTCCTTGCATGTCCAAGGATGGAAGAGGGGTTTCCAAGCAAAGGCAGAAGCCCATTTCAGGCAGAAGAAAAAGCCAGCATGATGCCACAAAGGCATGGCATTGACATAAAATTTGGAAGAAACTCAACATGGCTAGAATTATGGGATCCCCCTTCATGAGCCCCTTTTTTGGAGATGCATTCAATATCTAAATTTTGAATTTGGGCAGAAAAATCCTAATATGTTACTCAAGGGAATACTACTTAGCTATTAAAAAAGATGAAAATGTGCCTTTTGGGACAAAAATGGATGGTTTTGTAACAGGGTGGTCCCCAGGAAAGGGGGAGGTTCCAGGCTCCCTGCCCCATCCAAATGGAGGGTGGAGCTGAGTAGGGAGAGAAGAAGCTGCAGAGGAGACTGAGGAAGGAAGGAGGCAGGATGGAGCCAGAAGGAGACCTGGAGGAGGCACATGGAGCCAAGAGACATGTGAAGAAACTGCGCCTGCCTTTTGGTCGGGACTGGGTGACACTGATGTGGGCGAGAGGCCCGTGGGGAGGTGACAATGGCGGTTTTTGTCTTGATTTTGCTCTTTTCCTTCCGGGCTTGTCTGGTTGTTTCTGACCCTTTTCTGTGGGTCCCCACTGGATGATGCTTTAGACTTGTGGCAGGCTTTGGGGCCTTGCTCTGGGCCAATCCCATTTGGATGGACTTTTACCCACGAGGGGACGGGTAACTTTGGGTGCTTCATTTAGAAACTAGACTCTTTGCCTTTCCTGTATTGTTTCCTGATTGTATTAAAGTTCCTTCCCATTAAAGTCTCATATGTTTTGTGTTGATGTGGCGGATGGCAGAACCCATTTAGAGCAGGCAGGTTTTGGGGGGATCTGGGGTGCACCTCTCCCTGCCCTGTAAGTTTCATTATAAGTATGACTATGTCAAGTGAAGTCAGTCAGAAAGTGAAAGACAGTCACCAGACGGTTTCACTGATTTACAGAATACAAAGTACCAAAGAAAATGAACTGGAAAACACAACAAAAATAACCCTCAGACTCGGTAATAAGTATAGTGGTTAATGGAGGTGATGGGGTAGGAAGGGGGCGGGGGCTGGATAGGGGATTGCACTGGAGCTTTGGTGGAGGGTAGAGTAAAGAGTGAAATTGTATCCAAAATTAGGTAAACGATCAGCAAATCAATAACAATTGAAAAGGAGAATTAATGAGGACATATAGACATTTAATAAAAAGTGCTAACATCTGATAGCAAATTATTTCACCACTTTGACCATATTTCATTATTACGAACATGCTCTAAGGAATCATGACAGAAAATAGTGAAGATGAATATGGTCAAAATAACTAAGCCTGGTTTACACTTTAAGTAGCAGAACCTGAAAGAATCCACAACATTCCAACACTGGGCTCTTTCTCAGATGCAAATGCTTCCCCTGCAAAGGCCCTCCTTGCTCCTCTCCCTGAAGCTGGTGGCCTTAACATCACCCCTCAGGTTTTCTTCAGCCACACAGTTTCAGCCCTAATCTGTGCTGCCAGGCATCCCCTTAACCTCACTCAAAGGTCAGAGGGCAAGAAGCTGCAGAGTGTCTGAGCCCACCGATCCTTATCACTCCATCTTGTTCCCTCCCATATCACACACGAACCCCCACTGCAGAGCTGTGGTTGTTTACTCTGCCCGTGTCTTCTGGTTCCTGTCTCGTACCTTTACATGCCTATATTTGCATCTACTTTATCTCCTCCTGAAACTGTAGGCTTTCTGAATGCAGGGAGGAAATATTCCTTGCCCCCATCTGCACCCCCATGTCTGTATAGAACCACACTCAATGCAAGAAATACTATGGAAAGACTGCAATTCCTTGGTTTCTAGAGGGGAACCAACCCGGGTATACAGTGGAGCTGGGTTTAGGGCTTGACGTAGAACGGCCTTGTGATTTATGGTCTGCATCCTGACACTTTTGAGAGTGATGGCAGCACTATTCATAAGCAACAGGGACAACTTACAAACCAGGTCTGTCCCAGGGAAAACAGGCAAATGGTCACCCCTGCCCGAAAGGTCATTCCAAAGAGCTGTGATTTACTCTAGAGCTCCCAGAGGGGGTTGCCAAGCCCCTGTGTCACTGACTCCCTGTGCTTATAGTCTGACGGTCTCCACCAGATAGTGTCAGAGACAGAAAGCCCAGTGCAAGGAAGTTCTTCCTTCTATCTAACTGCGATCCTTAGAGATTCAAGCTAATCCCACTTTAATTAACCTCGGGGCAACAGAAAACAATGGCAGACCAAGGCAGCCTCAGAAAAGAAAAAACGCAGCTCAGTGTCCTCATTCTTGGTAGGAATTCCTCATTATGAGCTCCACCGCCAGTTCTCCATCCCTCAACTGAACCAAACTCAATCTGGCTGGCTCAGGAATATAAAAGCTGGGGAGTTTGGAATCACTCCCAAGGAGAACACAGTTCATCTTTAATTTGCCCCAAATCCCCAGAAGCTTTCACAAACTAAACCCAAAGAAGAAAGGGCACCTGTGAGACCTGGAAGCTCTGCCTTCAACCAAAACTAATCTGTGGGGGACCTGAGCTCTGGCAAGAACAGGCCCCCACCCCCTCCCCATTCCCAGCCCCCAGAGAGCTGTTCAAGCCCACAGCAGAGCAGGGCTGGCTGTGAAGATGCTAAGAACAAGGGAGCCTCTCTTTCTCCCTCCCCCACTCTCCATCAGGATGCTGGCGTCTCTGTGGAGGGTAAGGAAGGACCTGGCTGACTTCTTTTAACAGGACAAAAAAGAAGTTTCAGATGGCGGGTAGGGCGAGGACCCAGAAGGGACCCCAGCAGGCAGGTTCCAGCAACCCAAGCTCACCAGTGGATCTACGCCAGGGCTGAAGCTTGATGGAAGTCGAATGCTCGAGCCCACTCACCACCATTCTTTGCCCCCTTTATAGTCCTATATATTTGACTTTCGAAATGAGTTATTTAAGAAGCATTTATAGCCAGTGTGACTATTTGAACACACAGAGGTCACTGAGACAATGCAGACCAAAACAAAAGGGCAGATCACCGGCCCCAAGCGACCTTGGGCCAGTCATTTCACCTCTCCCAGCTTTGGTTGCCTCATCAACAAAATGACACAATAAGATGATGGGTTCTTCCTGACTTTCCAGGGGTTTGACATTTAACTCTTGTTTATTTGCTGAAGAAGTGGCTAAAGAAGAATCAGTGGGAAGAGGCAGAACTCAAGCCAATCTTTCAATTTCTAATTTACAAGGGAACATTTTCACTCTATAAACTGGGAATATCTACCACCTTCACCGGTGCCAGTGTTTCTCCCCCGCCGACCTTCGAGCTTTGCTAATGTCAATCTTAACTGCAGGACACGAAGTCTCACGAGGCAGTAACACAGTCAAATTAATTTTGCCAATGCTGATACTAAACCACAAACTCGGTTTGCAATCCCTCGCAGTAATTCTAGCCATAAAAGTGAAATGCATGTTACTTGTGATCTAATAAACCCATTGCCTGGATAGAAATAAATCACTTACAGAATAATAACACCCACCAAATTCCTGCAGTCTTCCAAGTCCCCTAGTGCTATGAGGGATAGATGCCCAGTCCAAAATAAGGTCATTATCTTGAAAGGGGGTAGGACTGGAGGGTGGAATAGAAGACAGAACCTCTCCCCCAGCACCCGCTCACACATACACAAAATCAGCCCTAACATACACTCACATACACACACACACACACACACACACACACACACACCTCGCTTTGCCTATGCAAAGCTAGGTTTGCCCACCTTAATTGTGGTTAGAAAATGGAAAGTGTGGAAACCCCCTCCCTGACTGTTCTGTGTGACTATACTGCAACCAGGGGTGCTTGCTCGGCTGCCCACGGCTGATACACTAAAGAAAACCTGTTTTTATCCCCACGTAAAATGAAGCTGCGCCTCACCTATACCTGCCGGAAACTACCCCGGGTCTGCACTCACGCTGGGGGGAAATATGCACTGCACCCCATGAGTTACCTAGAATACGTTTGCTAAAATCGACAGGAAGAAGGGGCGATGGACGCAATTCAAGTGCTGATGGGGTTGTACTCCTGGGGGTGAGGGCGGCGGGGAACGCATGCAAGCCGGGAAGTCCCCAGTGGTGCCTGCACCTGGGAGGCGACCGCAAGGATGGATGCGGGGGTGAGTTAGTGTCGGGAAAGGAAAGAGCAGGCGGAAGGCGGGTCGCAGAGCTGCTCACCTGTCCGTACACCTTGATGGGCTCCGGCTGCAGGGCAGCGCTCCGTCTCCTCCGGAGAGGCACCTCGTCCGCCCCCCGGGGCTCCCCGCGCGCCCCCAGCCGCAGCTCGCGCGGGTCGCCCTGCACCACGAGGAAGCCCCGGTGCTGGGGCAGGGGCGCGCGGCCGCCGTGCAGGGTCCGCGTCCAGACCTCGCCGAGAGCCCCGGGCGGCAGCAGCGCGACCAGGGTGAATAAGAAGGGGAGTCGCGACTCCCTCCTGCTGCTCCGTGTCGCCATGTTCGGGCGAACGCTACTGCAGGTGGCGCCGCCGCCAGGAGAGAATGTGCAGCGCGAGGCCGGCTGTGCGCCCGGGCCGGGGCCGCGCGCGCCGCTCCCGGGGCTCCAGGCCGCTCCGGGCCGCCCCGCTGCGCCCGCCGCCTCCAGTGCCGCCGGGTCCCGCTCGGCTCCGCGCGGCGCCGTCACGTGTGAGGCTCGCGGCCGCGGCCGCTTCGCGCACTTTCTCCGCTCGGCGGCGGCTCCGGCCCCTCCCCCGCCCGGGGATGGGGAAGTCGCGGCAGCCGGGGCGCAGCGCGCTGTCCACCCTGCGGCCATCGGGAGTTGGGGGGCGCAGGGGGGCGCAGGGGCTCGCTCGACTGGTCTTCTTTGGAGTTTGGGGTCTCCTCCGCGGGGTCGCATCCAGGTCGTCTGGATCCGTGGACACGCGCCTTTCTGAGCGCAGGGCCCCTGTCCCACCACTGACCACCTCCCTGGGCCTCGGAGGCACCCCCGCCCCCAAGGGATGGCCAGAGAAAATGAGCTTCGGGAGCACAGCGGGCATGTTAGAGTCCAGGTGAACCCGCGCCCATTATGGAACGCAGAGTTTCAGCTCCTCAGGGCACCAGGTTGGATTGGAAATGACTGCAGCCCCCAACTACCCTGGATCACGTTTAGTTGTTGCTTCCCGAAGCACAGTAAATACACAGCCTGCGCAGGGGCAGTCAAAGCCAGGGAACAGAGCCAGTCCCGGACCTGCCACACCTGGACGGTTGCACAGTTAAGATATTGGACCCTTGCACAGGTGGGACCTGCAAGGAAGGACCTGCAGGGGCCACAGTTCAGCGCTTGCAGGACACACCCCTCTAAGGTGTCCCAGCACTGTGCCGCCCCACCTTGGCTGCAAAGTGGGCATGTAGGCCAGGCAGTCCCTTGAGCTGTCAGCCCTCGCGGCTGCAAGTCCTCTACAAGAGTGGAAAGCTTGTCACTGGGGTCAGGAGGGGACTGACACCCCCAAGGGAAAATAATGCAGGTTAGCCCTAAATTCAGTTGGAAGATCCAGGCTCTCTTTGAACCACAAGGCGATCAAATTTCTGCCTGGGGAACTGCTGAGGCACACCCAAGGTAAATATCTTTTGCAAGTTCATGAGAGTAGCCAAAGCTGATCCGCTGGGGTTCTGGACCTAGAGCCGGGGTTTTGGTAAGACTAAAGACCTGGAGCAGAACGGAAGGAGAGACTACTTCTTTGGTTGCATCCAAGTCCTTGGCTTAGAAGAAGGGATGGGTCATTCAGTTCCCTAAAATACTCATCTCAAATCACAATACCCATACCCCTGCCCATTCAAGTACTGCCCAGTTAGTTTAGCACAACCCCCTTCTCCCACCATACCACCACTGACAGCCTGCAAGGGAGGGCCAGTGTTCCTCAACTCCCTAAACCCAGCATTCTGCCACCTTCCCCAAACCATGCCAGCTGTCCCACTCCTGCTTGTCTACCCAGTCAAATGCTGTCTTTCTATCCATCTCAAAATAATCACAGAACTGCCCAGTTCTCTCTACCAAACAAATCCCTCATGCTCTGAGAAAGCCACTGAAGCGCCCCTCCAGTTCTCATCTCCAGCTGCCTTACCAGGACAGGCCACCCTGTGGCCTCCCAAGACAAGCAGCAAAGACATTTTAAACCCCACTGAACGCCCAAAGGAAAATGAGGGGGCGGTGGCTAGAGTGGATGACTCAATTATTGGGGAGGGGGCTTTCCATCATATAGTTAATGAGAAGCTTCTCTACAAGGTAAGCATCAGAGTCCCAGCACAAAACAGAGACACGTGTCCTCTAAGTGTAGATTTGAAGATAGGGAGCTGCTTTTCCCAAACAAACCGCTGGCTTGAGTTTCAGATGGCAATTTGCAGGGAAGGATTTGTAGGGCAGGGGCAGCTACTTGCTGGTTTTGATTTTGATTTGCAACTTGGACCCTGGAGAACTGGCGAGAATACCCAAACACGGTTAATTTACTCCTTGAAAGCCCTCCTCTATAATCATTATCTACATTCCAAACCATTCTCAGGTGGATAATCAGCAAACCCTGAGACGGTGTGTGGTGTATACCTCATAACCACAGGGTACTGTGTACAGAACGCAGAATTTTGAGTCTAAAGGTCCACTTTCTAGCTTTGGAAACTTGGTTAAATAACCTTTAAAAGCTTGTTTTCTCATCTGCAAAATAAGCGTCCACAGTCTGCTCTGAGAGCCCCAAATGAGATCCACTGTGCAAAATAAAATAACTGCACAAGTCATGAAGGAGTTCTATACTCGGGTGGCATTGGAGAGATCGATTCTAGCCCTGGCTTGGCAGCCAAATTACAGTGTGAGGTCTGTTCTGGTTATCAACCTCTCTGAGCATTGGTTTTCTCATTTGTAAAATGAAAAGAGACCTTACAGATACCTTCCCTGTTCCCTTCTGGACACACACCTGGAATCAAGATGGGCACAGGGAGACTACCCAGTGTAACAGGGTGGTCCCTGCCCTATAACACCAGGACAAGGGTAGAAGCCAAATGATTGTGCAATGCTAGTAGCTTCAAAACCACATCTGGGTTGTAAACATGCCACCACTTCCTCCATGCCTCCAAAATAACATCAACAAACAGATGGGAATGCAGACAGAAAAGGCCTACCTCCAGCCCATATACTCCAAATGGCAAGCCTTGCTCTGAAGTCCAACATCTCAAGGAAAATCAACATACCTAGGAATGTAACGCTACACTCACACTGTATATAGAAAAAGGTTCTCGCAGGCCTCCCTGGTGGGGAGGCCTTCATAGTCTCAGCACTATGAAGCTATTTGTAGCCACTGAAGCACTAGAGTTCATTCCCCGGCCAGCCAGCTAACCCACATGGCATGGCAGCCCTCTCCTGTCTCACCTGCTGCTCCCCTCAGCATTGTATTTTGGTCAATCTGCCTGTTCTGTCTCTGGTGAATTCTCTCACCCACCCCCTACCTCTGGCCTGTACCCCAGTTTTTGTATGCATAAATAAATAAATCTTTTTTTTTTTTAAAAAAAAAAAAAAGCTCGTGTTTATGGTCACACTTAAAACACCCTCTTCTGACCTTCTGTCTATACTAGGCCATTCTGAGCTAGGGCTGGTGACAGGGCTAGGGAAAAACCACCCAGAGGTCACAGCGTCCCATATTTTTATCTACATGGAGTCAAGTTAAAAAAAAAAAAGTAGGGGCCTCCCTGGTGGCGCAAAGGGTTTCCCAGCCTCTGCAGCATGAGTTTGATCCCAGCCTGCCAAGGAACAACCCACATGGTGCAGCAGACCTCTCCTGACTTGCCTGCTGCTCCCCACAGTAGTGTACTTTGGTCACTCTGCCTGTTCTGTTCCCCACTCTGTCTCTGGGGAATTCTCTCACACACACCCCCACACACACACACCTCTGGCCTGTACCCCAACTCTTATACACATAAATAAATAAATCTTTAAAAAAAAAAAAAGCAGCAAGGACACCATGGAAAGAAGGGTTCTATGGGGAATCTCAAAAGCCTAACTGGACTTCTTTCTATTGTCTCTTGTGTCATGACCTGCCCAGACGCTGGGATCTGTCTATTCCTCCTACCCCAAAGTCCCTGGCCTGGACAACTTCTCTTCATCCTTCAGGGTCACAAAGGCCTCCCTCAGCACCTAACCTTACAACCCCTCATTCTAACGCTGAAAGACACACACATACACCATCCCTACCACCTCATCTATCCCCCCCGATAACCTTTCATACTTCCTTTGTGGTCACATTACTTATTTAACCTCTTAAACTACAAGCAGAAGGATGGCAAGCTCAGGTGTGTCTTGCTCTTGTCTGTGTCTTCAGTGCTCAGCTTAATCCTGGCACGTGGTGGGCACTTCATGATATCTGGAGAATCCATGTGCACGAATGCAGAGGTGGGTGCCCCCCTTTGCCTTGTGCTGAGAGTTGGGGATTAGTTAAGGGTCAGTGTAGTTGAATCTCAGAACTTTTCTTACTACCATCTGGCTCCTACTACTTCTTTCTTCCAAAGCTGGCCTGAGTCACAGTCAGAACTCTGAACCATTAAAGCAGAAAAGAGCCCTCCAGCACTTGGTGTGGGGAACATTTTTCCCTCTTTCACATCATTTTAGCAGAATAACTACCATTTACCTTACTGGTCAGGGTAAGATGGTTTGGGGGTTGTCAATGGATTGTTGAGTTTTCTCCCTCTGTGCCGTCCTCCAAGCAATAGATCAAATAGGCTCCAGCCTGCATCCTATGCAGGAATCTGGGGCCTAATGGTAAAGCCAGTCTTTTCAAACCCATTGATGACCAAGGAGCCAGATTAAAAAGATTTTAGCAATGGAGACCCAGTCTTTGCCTCTCTGCAGGACATTCTTAAGCAAGGAAGAAATGAAATACTGCATTACCTTCCTCTAGCATCAGCATATCTTTAGGGCAGGAAGACTTAGAACTAGAAGACTCTCCTATCCAGAATAATTACATTTTTAATGTCAGTGACTCACTGTTCCTACCTATATAAACTAAACTCAAACTTGTGTTTATTGGAACAGTTCTCTCGGAGTAAAATCCATGGAACTGCTTCGAGAGTTAAATCCTCACTTCGATTATCTAATACACTCTTTGTCTAACTGTCATTGAGATTGTATTTTCAGTTAATGGTGAGGGGGAGGGGAATCATCATTCTACCCTTATAAATTGACTGAAACACCCCTGGGAAAAAAGCAGATTCACAGGAAGAAAATAAGCAATAGTTTAATAACATGTATACTTCCTGTAAACCTGGGAGAAACCCAGGAAAACTGCGTAATTCACCAAAATGGCCTAAGCCACCTCCTTGAGTAAATCTTCAGCTAAAGGATGTTGGGAGAAAGGGGAAGGTCAGTTATGGGAGGATGAAGAAGGAGGCACCCTTCTAAAGGGAGGTTTTCTTTTATATATGTAAATGTCTCTTACAAACCGGTAACTTCTACTCAGTTTTCTGCTCTTTTCCTATATCTGATGTTCCTTAAAAATAACCAGTTCAGGACCTTCCTGGTGGCTCA